AGGGTGCAGGGATCCAGTGAAATACATGTACCAGGGAGATAGCAGACGGATTCGACGATGCAAGAGGGAAACTTTGATAGGACCCAGGGAAGGACTAAGTAACAATATGACAGACTCTGGTCAACATTCCCATCCCAAGGATAAAGGGGGTAAGAACGAGAGCGCGGAATGTGAAGAGTTTTCATGAATGCCACCCGAAGGAACACACTACACTACATTTAAATTAAGCACGGTAAAATTGTGACAGGGAAGGCATGATAGAAGGATATAGGAAATGTGAATAGCCCAGGGCAGAAGGGTAGATACCACAACTGTTTAGCACATGTTTGGTCGAAGGATGGGCTTCACTTATCTCTTTTGACGAGTTGTTGTGTAGTGCTAAGAATGGCGATACTCATTGACGATGCCGGCGAAACGTCTGGGAATGTACCACGTCCACGGTCTACCCTGGAAATGATGATGCATACAAATGACTCCGGACAAGTTGCGTTCCTCTAAGTCTTCTTAACAATATGACCGAGTTGCGAAAACAAGGTCAAGCAGCTTCTAAGTTTAATTATTGTCAAATAATTAGGTAAATGAGGTAAACTTAATTACTCGAACTAAATAATTCTCATATTTTCTTAAACATATCATTTGTCCATTCTTTACACATTGCACCGTCTCCAATACTCGTACACATACACTAAAACCTAACTTTCAATATCAGCGTTTAATTGATTAAATATTTGTTATTTGCAAAATTCAGATAGCTTATTTCAAGTTTGACAGATTTATTTGAAAATGACAGATCATGCGGCAAAGATGTGCAAGAGAAGATCCTGACTGGACTCACACAACATCTTTTTCTTGGTAGTATTTTGCAAACGTACAGACATAGGTGTCAACTAATTTTCGGCTTCCTGGTATGCGTTGGCCAAAAAACTCAATTAATTCGCATCTATGATTTAATATTGTTGGGGGGACCTTCATTTCGTATGAAAGTGCATGAAGAACAGATTCGTTGGTCGATCTCACCAGATGAGGACGGA